GTCTTCTCAATTGAGACAACATCTGAAAAACAAGGAAAAAATTATCTGATGTTATAGAAATTACTAAATGAAAGAACTGGTAGTAACTGGTGGAACTCTTGGGAGTCCATACAGTTAGGTACCACCACCCTGCCTATTTCTACTGTGAAGCAGTAATGCATTTCAGTTTCAAGGGTGGGGCAGCTGTTGTAACTATACTAAGACTTTAGAACTGATATCTCAAGGTGGGTGGTGGTATTTATGTTGTAGATGTCTAAGGGCTCCTGTAACCACCTAACACCTTGTGGACTGTGAGCTCATCTACTCATCTATGCAAAAAAAGTCGTATTTGCTAAGTGTAAGAAAAAAAGCTTTAACTATTATGTAAATAATAAACTAAAATATGTTTAGCATGTATTCACAAATGAGTTCCAAAATGAAGGAATGTGAAATTAAACTGCAAAAATATATAAATATACATGAAATTACTACTAGGGCATATGAGGTCTATAAAATCGAAGGCAGCTAAATCAAAGTGTCCAACATTCAGGTAAACTACAAAAATCAGCCCTAAACACGTCATTACGGATCCTCCTGATCCATCGAAGTACTGCTTTTGCTAGGGCCAGTGTTAGCAACACTCCTGGTTTACGGTTTACGACATTAAGGCATTTAGCTGCCTTTGATTTTATAGGCTTCATATGTAAGCCGGCATAGGTTGATATCACCGTCCCATCTGTGCCAAGAGAAAATATCAAGCCACATTAAACAACTACAAAATGTTTTTTTGCCCCTACTCCGACCTCTGCCTTTATCTTTTCCAGGTTTAGAAAGTGCTCTAATCTTGTTCTTTTTATGTCTTGGCAGTCCAGTAGGAGTATTGGTTTAAAATCACCAATATGATAAAATCAATGTATTGTTGTTGATATTATTATTACCTTTGGTTTTTTAAATGCTAATGGGACAGAAAAATATTATTTATTCAAATATTGTTCCAGCAGATTAATTATTTGTTTATTATTTATTACAGATGCAAATGAAAGAATTAGCTTTGAGCCCTACACCCCAGCAGAGATTAATAGGAAAGAGAAAAGAAGAAATTAAATTTCAAATATTTCATAATGTAATGTTTATTTTTTTAACTCTTTGATAAAATGACAAGTTTAAGAATAACTCACCCATAAATCCAGCAGGATAAGTAGGGTCAGTCCTAACTTTCCCATCAACCTTTATGAGGCGTTGTTTCACAATTTTCAGGACTTCGTTTCCGGTCAAAGCATACTTCAGACGATTCCTCAGGAAAATCACCAGGGGCAAGCACTCGCGCAACTTGTGGGGACCGGTTGACGGTCTCGGTGCATACACACCGCCAAGTTTGTCCAACATCCATGCTTTGGGAGCGTTTAAGCGCTTCAAATGCTTCTTAGGGCCTCGCGCCTAAAACAACGGTGAAATTGTAAAATTGTCGTGTGAAAAAACGACAGGTTGTCTTAATTCAAGCATTCTCTGAACTATCACCACAGTAATATTCATGTAACTTATTTACTAACTTGATAAATTTGTTATAAAACTAAAGAGACTTCGACATATTTAGTCAACGACTTTTTCAGACAGTGTGTGTTTTTAACGACAAATACGGATCGAAATGTAATTTTAAGGCTCTGAACGAAATAGCCACGGTTTACACTTTCATGAAAACCTTATACACTAAGCGATTTTTATTGATTTCGGCAATATTGAAACACAAACTCACCATGTTGGACAAGTATTAAATCGAGAAAGAAACGTCAAATCCAAGATCAAAGTGAAGACAGTGAAGTTAAGTCGTTTGTCAAATGTCATTATTATTTTTTTGTAGAGCCCTGGATTCCAGTCTTTTCACTAAGTTTTCATTATGATTATTTTCTTTGATAGCTTAAAAAACCTACTATAGTTGAAAAAATTGAAGTGGAGTGAAGAAGTGTAAGTTGTAAATGAGAAAAAACGAAATGAGATAAATGTAAAAGTATAACACTGAAATGGTGTAAAAAAAAGACTTCAGTAGATTTTTTGAAGGACCCCAAAAAGGAAAACAACAAGACCGGCAATTTTGTTTCAATTTTCCATCCTAAGAAAAAATATGGAGATGTTGCCTTCTATAGACGTATGACGTGCTCGTTGAATAAGTTTCTCACCGGATCTTTTCTAAAGAAATACAGACTTCAAATACACGTTCAGAAATAACTTCCGTATATTTAATTAACTTCCGTAGGTAATTTCTCGCTTTGTAGCTAAACGGTACGATAGGTAGTCGTTTTAAACCATGATTGATAGGTGGCAGAATTAACATTTTTAAATCTATTAATTTCAGTTTAAATTTAAAATAATGCTGACTTTTTAACCTTTTAGTTTAAGCTTTTACACCTCTGATTCTTCCGAAAAGTCAATAAGTCTCTATACATTTCCAGTTTTTTATTGAGTTTTATCATATCTTGTTTCATTTTATATCATGAATTTGTGGTCATTTTTCTTGTTCATTTACTCTTAGTGTTAAGACTTAACTAGAGCAAAAATAAAATATATAAATTGATTTTTGGTTAAAAGATAAGAATCCAGGTCATTCACTAATGGTAAAAAGAAACAAAATATAAAATATACCGGTAAAATGGGGCGATTAGGGACAAATTCCAACTTTATGACCAATTTTAAGGTAGTTGTTGATGTTTATAATGCTATATCAGGATCAAAATGATTGAGTCATAAAACTATGCACCTAGCATTCCACATTAAGCAAAAAAAGCAAAAATAAGTGTAATCCCTATTTACCCGGAAATTGCGGTTAATTGGGACGAAATGAGAAATTTGCTAGGGTTGGCACTACTTGGTTTTAATTAATTTATTTATTTAGTTGCACCAACAAAGTGATCATCAATAAAAAACATTGAAAAACTGACAAAAGTACATAGCAGATGTCACCTCAATTATAGGTGCAATCGACAGTGCTTTAACAATATATATATAACTAAAACTTGATTACATTTATTTACTTATGATTAATTTATATTTACTTGGAAAATGATCCGCGACAGATTTGTCCTGTAAATTGTGAGACAGTAAAAAAAAAACATCTATTTCATCACTTAAAATTAGTTCCGCGCAATCGGACAACTCCGAATGAACATTGACGGAGACCACGCTAACGTGGACATTATTTTAGTCCCAAAGGATACTGCATATGGGAGAGTAAGCACCTAAATTCGAACGAGTGGGCTTTCTTATAAACGGTTTATATTTCTTCGTTCTTGGTAAGTACTTAGGGGCTGATATTTTTATCTGGGTTAAGAGATTAGGTGTGTCGGTTATTCCATGGATTAATCAGATGAATACCCCCACTCTGAACAAATATTAAATATTTTATTATGTATTACTTAGACATTTTTGTCCACCTTGAGATTTCATTGTTCTTGTTACATGTCTGTGCAAAATCAACTTACTTATATTAAATTGCTTAGCTATTTTAACTAAAGACTTATTCCCAATTTCATAGGCTTCTATTGCTGTTTTTAATATTAAGGGATCATATCTCTTATAAGGCTTTGCACTCTTTGATACGTACACGCGAGGCATATCTAAATATAAAAAACAATACGTAGGTAACTGATAATATAAATATTTACCAAACAATAAAATAACACATTGATAATTCTGAATAAAAGTTCTAGACAAAAACATCATGAATAAACCAGATTTTAACCAACAAATTTAAAAAATATTGTTATAACTACATAGACAACCCTAAAAACCTGTACCTATTACTGGTGGTAGGACCTCTTGTGAGTCCGCGCGGGTAGGTACCACCGCCCTGCCTATTTCTGCCGTGAAGCAGTAATGCGTTTCGGTTTGAAGGGTGGAGCAGCCGTTGTAACTATACTGAGATCTTAGAACTTATATCTCAAGGTGGGTGGCGCATTTACGTTGTAGATGTCCATGGGCTCCAGTAACCACTTAACACCAGGTGGGCTGTGAGCTCGTCCACCCAACTGAGCAATAAAAAAAAAAATTATACTTAGGTCGTTTCCATTTCACGTATTCTCATCCCAATTGACCCTGTTTCGTTGTTATTTGTACCTAAGATGTTCCCAATATCCCCAAAAACAACAGATTTTTACATGTATTTTTATTTTTTCAAATACATTAAAACCAATAACAACTGAGACTTATCTTTAATATATATGATGGTTCAAACACTAAATAACGTTTATAAATCACAGTCGTCTTCTATTATTATCAAATAAATAAAAGAGAGCAAAGTTTCTAGCACTAAAATAATTACACCACAGGAAGTTAATTTGAAACTCGATTTTTTATAAGTTAGCAGCTATTATCATGCACATTCAGAGTTGTTTTGTGAACTTTCAACATTCTACTATTAAACTACAAAAAATGGAAGATTTTGCAACGAATTTAAAACTAATATTGAGCGTCGAAAGATTTTCCCGGTTTTTTCCCGATTCGCCTCTCAATCCCTAATCGCCCCATTTTACGGTACCTACTCAAGTTAGGACTTTTTGGCGGGAACGCGAGGAGTGAAGTTGTGTGATTTGTTTTATTTTGTCTATTTAGTGTTTTTTCAGGCTTAAATGTGTAATAACGGTGGCTTATTAACTGTTTAATAGTTTAATATCTGTGAAAGTGTACAAATGTGGGAAAATGAAACAAAGCTGTTGGACGTAACTTCTCGGGATCCTCCAAAAAGTCCACTGAAAAAAATCTCAGTACATGACCACAATTTTACTGAGATTATATTTCATCCCATATCATCTCATATTATTTCATTTAATTTCATGCCGGTTTATTAATGTCTCAAATTAATCGTCTTCATTTCATTTCACTCCATATTATCAATTTTCATAAAAATATCCCATAACATATCATCTCATTTCATTTCAATATCATATTTCATAAAAATATATATAAAAGATTAGGCAGTATGGTATGATGCCTTTGCCTTTATATTTGGAAAAATAAAACTAAAAATAATAACTAAAGTCAGTAATTTTATGTGGTATGTTTTGTATTTTCGAACTAAATATGAATGGAATCTTCTTCGGAGGATAGTTTTTTGTGGTCAGATGCTTCTATTGATACATCTGATAGAGAAGAAATGTAAGTAATCATGTGTATTATTCTAATTTCACTAAAGACAACCAATGTGAGGTTATAAAATACAAGCGTGTGTTAATTCAAGCCTTCCAAAATGGGTAACTCGAATTAGATTTATTGCTCTAACTTTTTAAATCTAATTCTTTGTTAGATTACCCTCCATAACATCATAGTGTCGTAGATATATAACATTTAATACACAAATTCCTTGATTGTTAGTCGCAATATGAGCTTATAAAACTTCAGTTTTACGAAAACCAGTTTCTCTTCTGTTAAAAATACACGGTTTAAAGTAGTGCAATTTATGTTTCAATTATTATCATGTTCATTCAATGAACTTATTGGAATCTTTAGTGCAGTGGAAATTGGCTGAATAAATTATGACAATTCTTTGATATAGTTATGCTCAGTTAATATTCTGTCAATGACTGAATGAACAACTTAAATTAAATAAACTACGTGTCCTTGGCATTGGTGACGTTTATGAGTGGCTGGTGATCATCAGATAGTCTGTTTGCTCCTGCCAGTCTTCAAGGGCAATAATAAAAAGAATCTAGTAAAGTATTCAAAATGTTAATTAAAATATAAAAATAATAAACACATGATCTAAACTGTAAATTATAAGTACAGTTACAAATGGTTGAGAACTCAAAGAATATGTAACTAGGTAGAAACGAGAATATAAATTAGCAAACTGATGCTGCAAAGTAACCAACTGATGGCAAGGACTAATTTTTTATTTTGTCTACAGGGCAAAAGCTACAAATATAAATCAATCAGATGTAGACTCTGAATACGGACAGAGCTATAAAAAGAAACTTCACAAAGAACTCTTTGTAAATGGTGAACATGAGACAGAATCTAGGGATCAACCAACAGAAAAGAGTAGGAAAAGAAAAATTAAGACTGAGAAAACTGAAGAAACTGACAGTCCTAAGAAAAAAAAAATTAAGGTCGAACCTGAAAGTGATATTGAATTGAAAAATAATTCTAAGCACAGATTATCAGTAAACCAACAGCATTTACCAGATGATGACTCAACTTATGATGAGAGCTATTTGAATCTACGAGTAAAACAAGAGCAAACATTCACAATTCCATCAGCACAAAAAAAAAGAAAGAAAAACCACAAGAGTGAGTCTGTGGTAAATTCTGAAAATGAAATTGAGTCAAACGCCGAATATAACAATGTTATTGCTGAATCTAACTTTGAGACTAGTACTTTGAGTCACCAAGCAGATTCTGAAGATTATGAAAGTAAAGCTAAAAAAAAGAAAAAAAAATCAAGAAATAAAAGTGAATCCACTGAGCAAGAAACTATCATTGAAGAAAAATTTACTGCTGAAGAGACTGTTGTAGAAACAAGACAACCAATAAGTAGTAGTGATTGCGATGCTAAGAAATCTTCAAAAGAAAATTTAGACAAAAGAAAAAAAAAGAAACATATACATAGCCACAGTGACTCTGAAGACAATGAAGAAGGGTCGAAAAATCGAACTGTTTCACGTCCAGAAGCTGTACGAGATCATGATATGCCAGAAATTGTAAATACGAAAACATCTAGAACAATATCAGAGAGAATTAGATTTGAGGAAGAAGAATCAGATATAGATGTTAGAACACTCGATAACCAATCCAGAAAGTTGAGAAACTATTTAAAATCAAATGTAAATTTGAAGCCTGCTCTAGATCATTTGAAGGAGGAGGCACTTATAACATCAGATGATGAGATATTTCTTATAAAATGTCCCAGTATAATTGATTTAGCTGCTTTCAAAGGTGTCAAAATCAATTTAGACAAAAAATGTAAAATAAAAATTAATAATCAGACCTATGAATGTAATTGGGACGAAGGAAAAAATAAGATAGCGATTTTATCTCGTAATAAGAATAAAACTGTAATAAAAGGTTTACCTGTTAATGGTATGTTGTGTCTAAGAAAAAGAATACCAAAATTACATATACGAGAAGAGAATTATATGATAAATAATCAAAATAATTTTATCCCATTATTAGATACTAAATGTAGACATCCATTGTTTGGTGCAAATTACAAAAAAGCAATTAAAATACCTTTTTCTGTAGCTGAGAGATTGAGGGAAGTTGATCAACCACAAGATATTGATATTGTTGATATTGAATCGGAAAAGACAAAAAAGAAAAAAAAGAAAAAGGATAAGGATAAGATAAAAATAGAAACAAGCTATGTTGAAAAGGATAATGAACAAACTGATACTGAAGAGCTACCTCCCAAAAAGAAAAGTAAGAAACATAAACACACAAAAGAAACAGAAAACGTTAAATCAAAGAAAACAAAACAAAAGAGACATAATTTAGACACTGCAGAAGCTTGGGAATCTGAGAAAGCTATAGAGGAGAGTCTCTTTAACTTTTAAGTCTGTTTAAATAAATATTTGTACATATATATTTTTCAAATAAATAGCTAAATATTTTGCTCCTGTGTTTTTTTGTTTTTTTTTTGCTTAGATGCATGGACGAGCTCACAGCCCACCTGGTGTTAAGTGGTTACTGGAGCCCATAGACATCTACAACGTAAATGCGCCACCCACCTCAAGATATAAGTTCTAAGATCTCAGTATAGTTACAACGGCTACCCCACCCTTCGAACCGAAACGCATTACTGCTTCACGGCGGAAATAGGCGGGGTGGTGGTACCTACCCGTGCGGACTCCCAAGAGGTCCTACCACCAGTAATTACGCAAATTATAATTTTGCGGGTTTCATTTTTATTACACGATGTTATTCCTTCACCGTGGAAGTCAATCATGAACATTTGTTGAGTACGTATTTCGTTAGAAAAATTGGTACCCGCCTGCGGGATTCGAACACCGGTGCATCGCTTCAACACGAATGTACCGGATGTCTTATCCGTTAGGCCACGATGACTACAAATTAAGTTTATTTAATAATATAGGCAACATCAATATTGAGTAAATTCCTGAGCTCATAGATTTTAGAGCTTTAAGTTCATGCCTGTCGTCCATAGAAAAATGCCCCCATTTACGTTATGCTGAAGAGCTCCAAAGACCGTTTCTGAAATTGGCCGTTAGCTTATTTTTAGTACACAAAATAACTGGAATGGTTCAATACGGTAAATCAGTGAAGTTATTATTATTATTTCTATTTTTTATTGCTTAGATGGATGGATGAGCTCACAGCCCCCCTGGTGTTAAGTGGTTACTGGAGCCCATAGTCGTCTACAAAGTAAATGCGCCACCCACCTTGAGATATAAGTTTGAAGGTCTTAGTATAGTTACGGTTACCTCACCCTCGAACCAAAACGCATCACCCCCGGTACAAATAGGCAGAGCGCTGGTACCTACCCGTACGGTCTCACATTAGGTCCTACCACCAGTAATACGCAAATTACCATTTTGCGGGTTTGATTTTTATTACATGATGTTATTCCTTCACCATGGAAGTAAATTGTGAACATTTATCAAGTACATATTTCATTAGAAAAACTGATACCCGCCTGCAGGATTCGAACACCGTTGCATCGCTAGTTACGAATGCACCGGATGTCTTATCCTTTAGGCCACGGCGACTAATTAATCGGGAGGGATACATAAAACCGCATCTTAGTCTCTTTAAGAACAAAGTAGAGCGATATCGATATTTGTCAAGAGTTCCTGAATTAGGCCGAGAAAGTAATTAAAACCGCGCTGATTCTCGTATATCCCTATGGATACATTAAAGTTTGGTCACCTCTAAGAGAATTAGGCGAAGATTTGAAATGTCTTAATGCGTCTACGCCGATTCAACTAAACCCGTCCATCACGATTGATCGAGTTAATTAGTCAATCACGATTGATCGCATCACTTAGCCGATTATGATTACTCAATTAAGTAGTGGATCACTATTGATCAAGTTACTTAATCGATTACAACATGCCCACGAATCGTCTAGTGAATAGAATTTTGGAATCTTCATAGCCTAAAGTAATCGTATCAAGCGATGCGATTATGTTGGTTTTAAAATCACACACACAGTGTAGGTACATTTTTAATGGAACTTTGCTTACAATCGTGGCATAAGGATCAAACCAACAAATTTGCGCAATTACTCGTGGCAGAACGAATTGAAGTCCGCTAGGGACCACTATCCGTGTTCCACCTCGAAGCAGTCGTGCGTTCTGGTCTGAAGGATAGAAGGTTCAGTTGCTATAAAATTATGAGCTCCGGGAATAACTTAATATCACGTGGGCAGCGAGCTCGTTTACTTAGCAAGTAAAGGACCTTGCAACTTATATTGGATTTTATACAATTACAGTACCGGTTTTTGACTTTACAATCAAGCTGCTAATTTTGTATGGACCACTTTCTGAACTCTCGGAAAGAGATTTGCCATTTTTAAAAACTGTTATCAGTCGGAGCGTGGACCAACAGAAAGAACGTATCATTTTGACTCGCTCTCTGCAGGCAACTCGGATCACAAGAAATGATCGATAGACGCAGACCTAGTTTTTACTTTTCGTTATCCATATGGAGAGTAGAAGTAAAGAGCACTGTGTATAAAAAATGTCTGAAAGCCTCCTTTCAAATTTGACAAATCAAGGAGGCGTCATAATAGCAAGTGAAAAGATTTGAAAACAGTGTAATAAACTACCTATCACACTTGACTTTAATGCGGCACACTCACTGAAGTATAGCTTTAAAGGTCTATGGGCAAACTTCATTCTGTTTAAAACTGCTATTTTCATGTCATTTCCACTTCCTACACTAGCGCTATTTCGGTGAGTCTTCGAACTATAACTTGCTGCTTACAGATGGACTTATTAAGTGTATAATCTATGGATGGACTTTTTTCAACTTGTCCCCTATAGTACAAGATGGTACTCCTGACCTTTACTTTACCCTCCATAGTTATCCTATTGTCAAATCGGTATAATCACACATGATGGCATGTGAAGATCCCATCACGTAATCGTTATGGCCGGCGCCACCCCCTTTTCTTGCCTCGTTCCCCAAACAGACCCGAAAATGCATTTCTGCGCATGTCCAGGTCAGAGACGTCACGACTCGTGCCGATTAATATAATTGAAACTTAATCTAGTTTTATGATACTGAAATAGTTATTTTAGAAAACAAGAAAATAGGGTTAAATTTTTTTCAAGAATTTATTGGAATAAAAGAGGATCGATGTACATTTTTTTCAAGAATCGATACAGTTATGATATCAATATAAATTAAATCTCAAAAACCGAAGCTAACCTGTTTTAGATCTTCCAATATATAGGACCGTATCACATCCGTAAAATTAGAATCCACTCGAAATCCAAGCCTCAATGCTCGTGAGTTGTCGAACCTGCTTGGGAAACTGCCGACCATTGCACTTATAGTCTCATCGTGTTCATAGCGTACCAGCTTAGCAACCTTGCTTCCAGAAACTTCACACAACGAGGAAATCATTTTACGAACTGTGACACTGATTCCAGGTAGATTTATCACTCTCCATTTCTCTAATTCGGAGCTAAGTAAAGTAGCAGCGTGTATTAAATTAAACACAACAGATCCAGGACTTGAAAGCCATAACTCTTGATCAGGTGGAACGGGGCAGATAGCTACTTCACCATTCAATGGCTCCCTGATAATTCCGCTTGCAAAAGATGTCACGGCTCTGTTGGCAGTTCCGGCGCGAATACTAACTGTTGGAAGACGAACAACTCTCCCATCAACGAAACCTCGTCTAGAGTAATCATTGATAAGTAGCTCGCTCATAGCCTTAGCAATGCCGTAAGAGTTCTGAGGTGTTGCGGCAGTTTGATCAGTTATAATAGGGGGCAGGTCACCTCCGAACACCCCAACAGTACTGGTAAAAACAAAACGAAGCTTCGTAGCTCGATGTCTCGCTGCCTCCAGCAATGATCTCGTTGCGTTGAAATTCACTTTCATTCCAAGATCGAAGTCTTCTTCAGCATGTCCACTTACGACTGCAGCCAAATGAAACAGTAAATCGGTATCAGTATCAACGAGTTTACGCGGAGCCTCTGGTGTTGTGATATCGAGGGCGAGTGTTATTACTCGTGGATCTTTTCGAGAGGGTGGTAAGATCGTATCCACTAACACCAATTCAGTCACACACAGTTCGGAATTTGGTTTTAGCAAAGCATCAGCTAAACGCGAACCCAAAAAGCCAGCAGCTCCTGTTATGACCACTTTCATTTTCGAGTTTTCTCTTAACTTCCAGAAAAACGTCGCTCGTAGCGCAGTTCTATAAAACTAAATAGCAGCTTGGTTTTTTATTATAAATTAAATACTTTTATTCGAGATACATCATTTGTTTACTAAGATAAGATTAGTATTACATGAACGGGGTTATGACTTTTGGATAATTTTATAATTATTATACATATCAGTGACAACCACGAACACGCGATATCATACGTAACCTAAAAATGTATACATTCTTTCTGTTAAAAAAAACTATAGCTCAAGTCTATTTCCATACGTTTCTGAAAATTACATACATATTGACTCAACCATTTGCAATCTTACAAACAATCATACAAACGCACAGACAAAAATATTTCCTAATATTTTATAACAATAAAAAAAACAACTGGGACGGTAACATTTTACAACCTAGCCGTTGACATGAACCCCATGAAAATCACTGCTCTTCAAAAGGGACCGCCCTCCCTATACCACTGCTAGTATCTCTTCTTTAATCAGGCAGTAACTGCATTCTTGCCCTCAAAATCTTTGGTCCATACCGTGGGCCTCGAAGGTCAAATGCCTCATCATCATCAAGTCAATACGCGACCGAGCCGCGTTCCTAATCGGTCGACGGTATATATACTCCATGATTTCAAAAGTCATCGTGGCTTAAAGAATAAGACGTCCGGTGCATTCGTATTTAGCGATGCAATGGTGTTCGAATCCCGCATACTTTTTTTGTTATTTTGTGAAAGATATTGAATCAAATGTATCATAAGTTAATGGTCTGCATTGTTATCTTTCAAATGACACCTCTAACGTCTTCCTAAGACATCGATAGCAATGATTAAATCAGCGCAAGTGCCCGAGCTGCGAAGTAAAAAAAAACAGAATGGGTGCCATTCTAGTATGGAGGGGCCAAGAGAAAATTGGGATAGTAATTTGTCGATAAAAATCCCCATATTTTACCCAATATAACCCATATTTTATTTAATCAAGCATAATCCCACGCCATTATTTTTGAACTAAACTAGGCCCCACAAACAGGAGACTTTACGAATGGCGGTTCTGCCGCATATATGGAAAATCTCGCCGGACCGGCACTGACGTACAATATGCGTTCGGAGAAAACACGGGTGAGCGTTGTGAAGGTCACTTGTAGGATACTAATGTCACTAATATTGACAAAATTCAAAAACATTTCAAAATTCAAAGTGAAGAAGAAAGGTAGCAGATAAAAGACTATATTATTGAATTAATATTACAATTTTATAGCTTATTTTTATTGAATTGAATACAATGAAGTGGTTTTAGCTTAGGGATCTTCAATTTTATAAAATCAAATTGGTAAGAATATTGTGTTACGTACCTAGTTCGTTCTTAAAATTTATTTATAATTTATGATGAGCTATGTTATATGTCATTCGTCTTTACTTCTAACAATATTAGAGTGTATTTTCCATGAAGCCTATAAGAATAACAATCGACAACAAGTTATTTCATAAAAAAATATTTTGTATCTTGTGGTTTGAATGTGTTAAATTTTTTTTTTGTGGAAGTCATATTCAACTGTTCCTTGCTAGGATTTTCTCTAACTTGGGTACCCTGCAAAGGTGTGGCTTGTGAACTTAAACTCAATAATGAATATCAAAATCTAATAAATTTGCCTACTTGACAGAGTATATGTACTCGATAGTTCAGCAGCCAGGGTTACCGATCAAATTTAAAAAAATCACACGATACTAATTTCAGCTAACTTAGATCTATGTAATTGTATTCCTTGTTAACTTTATGTTATATTACCATTCCAATGTTGGTTGTTTTTTCATTCACTCATCTTCTTATACTTAATATATCAATGATTTTCAGCAGTGATGTGTTTAATCTCATAGCTTAAGTTGACCCATACATCAGCCTGCTGAGCTTCTCACAGGATCTTCAGCAGGATTCGATTCTGATCCCTCAGTAGATACATTTGCAAAGCAGCTGCCCTTAAGCAGTTAGGTCTCCTTTGGAGATGTTAGGGCAACTGTTAACAAATCGCATTCCTCATGGCTGAACCTATGCTGCCTTATCTGTCCTGCTGAAACCGGAAAGACCAGGTTACCAATAATACCACCTTACACTTCACCATACAACCAGGTTAAATATCATTAGACTACTTAATATTTTCTTCCACTTTTAATTCTGTTATTGAACAAACATGTGTATTATTTTAGCCTCAATAATCCAGACTCCAAAAATATTTAATCTAAATTTAGCTCTGACCAACTCATGAATCTAGAGCAATTTCTGAGCACCCTGCATATTTTAATGCCAACCAAAATTAATTATCTATACAAACATACTTTTCTGGCTTATTGACTGACTGATTCATCAGCGCAAAGACAAAGCCGCTGGGACTATGAACTTTTTGGCATGCCTTTTATGTTGTGAGCATTCACTAAAGAAAGACTTTTGGAAATTTCTTCGCTGATAGTGTAAATATGGCAAAAAAGATTGTATGGAGATTAGTCATTTCCAAAGTAAGAAATACAATTATTAAAAAAATCCGCGTCGGGTAAGAAATATAGCTGCAAATACATATATTGGTGTTTCTCACAACTTATCCTTTAGAGTCAATTAGAGGTCAATTAGAGGTTGAAAGTATAAAGCTTAGTCTACACGGGCAAAGTTGAAATTGTTAATTGCCTGCGAAGTTTGAACGTATTTAAATTTGTTTCGTCCGATACGTGTAAGTAAATCATTTAGGCCATAACGAATTCATTTGGAAATAGTTGACAGATTGCTTTGTCAACCGATGAGCACCTGATTGCAATAAAACTCACGAATGTCGCATTAACAATGAAAATATTATTATAAAGAATATCGCTGAGCACACATGAACACTCCTAATTACGGTACAATTTAAAGGAAAGCAAAACGTCGAAATCATAATTTTTATATTAATTTTCTCGATATGTAGGTATGTGTAATTAAAGATATGTTAGTCGTAAAGTCGTAAAGAAATAGGCTATTATTTTTTAACGAAAAAGTGTACAGGTATCCTTCTTTAACACGGTATTTTATAACACGGTTCCACTCTAACACGAAAAGAAAATTCCTCCAAACCCTATCATGGTGCTTCGACAACACGATAACGAGATTTTTGCTTCAAATGTAGAAAATTACATTATGCACTATGAACACACAATATATGGGAATAACTGAAATTATACTGCTAATTTTTTATGCATAATAGGTAAATAAATACATACAGGCATAGTTGAGATGTTCCATTCAGAAGAATTACTCTTATTTTTGAACTGGCTTTTAGTCTCATATAACACGGTTTTGCAAAACACGGGACTTTGGAGGAACGTATGTACAGCGCTGTGGAAAGGTTACCTACGTTAGAAACTTTTTTTTTCCCTACCTAAGCTAATAGCCAATAGAGAATGCCTTAGGCATTAAGTCCGCCAATGTAAATTTTACATGAAGTGTAATAAATATATAAATAAATAAATAAATAGCCTTCAGAGGCTATTTCAGCGTAACCTTAACTAGTAGGTGAGCTCACAAGGCTCAAACCGGAGTGATGCTAACATTGACCACAGCAAGAGCAGTGCTTCGCAGAATGTACCACCGGATCGGAAACGCGACCCACTGAGAAGATCCGGCGAGAAACTCAGTGGGCAAACTGCTCTACCTCATGCTGTATAAACATCCAATATCCCGTTTCAATTTGTGAATCTTTCAACTCATAATCATTTGGCTACACTGTTATTTTTACGATGATGTCTCTATGAATATGTATTGTTTTAATTCAAAGACCATTACGTTTTCTTATGGACGCAGCGAAGCGTCGATGGAGCTAGATTAAATGTTTGCGAGTTGTTGTTCGAATCTGAATGAGTAGTGTAGTTATAGTTATAAAGTTATGTTTTGTTGTTTATCCAAATTTCGTTTCCGTTTCGCCGAGGTATTAATGTTTATTTCTAAAATAGATTTCACGTTATTTTTAAAGCGTCCAGATAAACATGAGTAAAAGCCAACGAGAATTCTCAAGGATTGGAGTGTTTCAGTTTTTAAGAAGAAACATTTATCGATGGTTGAGGTTGTAGCGTAAGGGGTGGTACCGTCACCCGATTTATTGAAGTCGCGAAGCAGATTTCACTTCGAAACGTAGGGCATCAATTACTACGCTGTGACAACTTCGGACTCCGGTGACCAGTTCTGTAGATAATAAAATTCAAATGTTCACGGACAGATCATCTGCCATTGGAAGTCGATTCTTTTTGGACTTGGATCGATCTTGAGACTCGTGTGGAAAAATAATGCCGTAGTTTCTTTTTTAACGACTTTTTACGGAACCCTTTGGAACCTAGTGTCTTTAAACAAGAACAAATGTTTGCTTCACATTAGAAATATGTAGAACCAACCCGTGAAGGGGTGATCCGTAATTACGGGCGGTGTTTAGTAGAATCACCAAAAAAATATATTTTAGAAGCCTAATATTAGACAGCTTAATCGTGGTTTGAAGTTTTATCAGTCCAGTGGTTATATCAGTCTGAATAATAGCGGTTTATCCATTACGACGGGTTGTACAGGACACATCTGCGTATAGTGCGGGTTCGGTGTTTCGATGACATAGAAATACCATAAATTCAATAAAAAGTTAAAATCAATTCATTAAATAGATTAATTTTTTTTTGTTATTTGCTCATTAATCGATTATACGCACAGTGACTGATAAATGGTAGTAATTATAATTTCGGCACAATCATATCTCTAGTCTTGAAATGTGCGATAATATTAAATAGTTTTTATAGATAGGGAGCTGTATGCCAAGATAGAAAAGAATTCGTTTTTACTAAATTATTTACGACCTATACGAGTATATCAACAAAACACTGACAAGAATTAATTGGTAAGGTCTTACTCAAGAGCTAGCGGATCGGTGTGCCCTTAAAATATTAATGTTTTTTAGTTACATTATATGATTAAGTAAAAAAAGCTAAATAGATTCAAAAGGACAAAACGTATAAATAATCACATTTATAATTAGTAAACGCTGCGTGATCGTGTGATGAATTTTCTTAAAATAATAATAGGTTAAAGATCAGCTTATCTCATAGCGTGATGTTCGTTACAATTTAGTCTGCAATTAAATACATAGCGGAGAACAAGAAGAAAATACGTTTGGTAGAATCTAGTAGGATCTTTTGTCTTCACGGCAGGTTTGCCGACTACAAACGGGCGTAATTCAATACAAAACTAGATTGGTTTCACGCTCCCGAACACGAGGTTTATATAAGAAAGCGAAACGCAACGCAGCACCTCAAACTGAATCTTCGTTTCATGGGTACTACACAGGTGTTACAGCAATGCAGAAAATGGTGACTCGAGAGAAAAGCGACTACGGGAGGAAGGTGCAGGAGAAGGCCGTCATAGAAAAGGTGTCCCATTGTTGAGATTGCGCGCGATGGAACCTAGGGTGGTGGAATTTCTGCTGAGCAGACTGTTCGGCCATGTCTTGGCTGTTTTGATACCGCGGTTTTCTTCAAGCGATCGCGAGAGGCGTGTGGTACCGGCTTCTGCGGGTAACGAGTGTGTGGTCTTGCAGAGGCAGATGGCGATCGAGCGCAGCGCTGCCGCGGAGGCCGCGCGTGCCCCCGCCACGCCCACCGCAGCCCCCCTGCCCGCCCCCACCACCGTCATCACCCTCGAACACGGGGAGCATTTTGACTCTACTCTATATAGGTAAGCATGATCTCTCCACGGCAAGGCCTAGGTTACGTACGTAATGCTACATATGGATAAATAGCTTTTGCCCGCGACTTAGTCCACGTGGAATAGTTCACAAATAATACTTTATTTTAGAACAAATTTGGTTAACTTAAAAAACACTATAGTGAGCCAACCTTAACATATAGCCTTTTTTTTAGGTCTTTTAAAGGGGAACAATTCTGTCATACATTATTTTACCGAAACTTTAACCGTTTCTACAGCGCACACAGCGGAAGCTCTCAAAAGGGAAAAAAAACGATTTTGAAACATTCTTTATTGGTGCTCCGCTTGTATTGGTCTTAGCGTGATGTTATATAGCCTATAGCTTTCCTCAATAAATGGGCTATCTAACACTGAACAATTTTTCAAATCGGACCAGTACTTCCTGAGATTAGCGCGTTCAAACAAACAAACTCTTCAGCTTTATAATATTAGTATAGATTTTATTTTAATTTGTTTGAATATTTTATTTTACAGATTTGAAAAAGGCTGCTATTTACAATTTTGTCCCGGACCAAGTTTATTAGGCCGGAAGGTGTTCCTTTACACTAATTATGTGCTCACTGACGATGAACGTGAGTAATCACCAGTAACATTAATATGTCAGCTTTTCGCAACCCCTTTTTTGTTTTCATTGGTCTAGAAAGGTAGGTTGGGACATTGTGTCGTTACGTGGACTCACGCATCACGACATGTGAGCTCAATAAGACAATGCTCCTTGACAAACGAGGCCAACATATCAATTTTGTGTAATTGCTGCCCCGTACTGCAAACCGGAACGCAAGATTACTTACTTCATTGTAGGTTCCGAGACTAATCAGTCTTGGCAGATGTAACCTCTCATATGTTTAAAATACTTTTTTGATTGTCGTTGTATGCAGCGAAACATATGGCCCATCTGTTGGTAGTTAGTCACCGTCGCTCACGGGCATCAGCAAAGCCACTGCCTACAATACTGCTCTGTAAAAGATACGATTGAAATGCACGCTCTCTAGAATATTATGACAACTTTTGTATATTACACTAATTATGATGGTCAAAACGTCGAAATTGACTGCATAGCAGATATGATTTTGACAAAGACATTTCGTCTTCTCGCATTAAAACTGTATAATCTGAAAACTTACAAAATTTTACAGAAGAGTGTTTTAAAGGTTTAACATAATATGATATTTTTAATATTAATCATCTTTGCAACATTTATTTTTAGTTTTTACCAGTTACATTATCTGCCTTTTAAAGTAAGATAAAATTATGTATTCATTTTGTTAATAGTAGTAAAAATATAGGTAAATTGAAAAAAAAAATACTAAACGTAAACTACGCTCTTTTGACAGTATTTATGAGAAAAATACTGGTGATACCAAATGATTCCGAATATTAACTCGATTTGGAATATTTTTGGAAATTGTACACTTTTAATGCAAAAAGACGATTTTTCAAAAGTTTGGCGGGTGTCCTGACTGACCACAATTTTTGTCTTACCGTAGCATTTCACTGGAAATGAAGTTAGATTTGGATGTGTTTGTACTCTTTTAGAAGACGATCAATCCGAGTTCATCCGCAATCAGTACTACGGGCTGGAGTGGCGCGCCGAGGGGGAGGAGGGAGAGAAGGGCGAGTCGTTGGGAGCCGGGCCCCTCGTCACCGACACCGACCTCTACTGTAAGATCAAGCTGGCCAGGGCTGGCTCCTTCCATTTCTACTTCGTCTATGATAATGCGTGAGTAGCCGCCATTACATACGTCACATTCTCCCACGAAGCATTACGCAGGGTCCTGCTGAAACTGCGATGCTTTAGCCAGACAAATATATTTTTTTCATGGAAACTATCGACATCTTGCAGCGGATGCCCGTAAACTAATTATTTATTTATTAATAATTTTTTAATTTTTTTATTTCAGACAACAACAAGTCCATATGTGTACATAGTATCATTGAAATATACTTAAAATTAACAAAACCAATCAAATAAAAAATATACATTTATTAAAAATAATTATCAGTTCATTCAACTGATACTTACTTCGAACCAACCATTATTATTATTATTATTTAGTCCGCAAGTGAACCATGGTACAATGGTTCAAGGACCGTAACAAGTTATATGTTATTAAAGTTGAGGCATTTCATTATTGTATAACTAAACACAGAATGTAAAAAAATTAATAAATCATACAAGTCTTTATTTGTTATAGACAAATTGAATAAATTTTATCAATTTGTGGTTTCTGAATATTTCCAAAATCCTTCATTAAAAATAAATTTGTTACTGCCATCTACAAGAGAAATGACAAACTAATCGAAACGAAGCCATCTAGTGGCCGACGCCCGTAAACATTTTTGTTGAGTATCGATGGCTTTACCTCCTGTTACCGGGAAGCTAGTAGCAGGTCGCACTAATTTTTTCTTGTTAGTATAATGAAATAGATAATTATGTTGTTCACAATGTTTCGGCAGAGAATCAAAGATAGGTCCCCAAGGCTCGGGCTGGTTCCACGTGGCGCCGACGCTGCGCGCGGGCCCGGGCGGCGCGGCGCGCATCCCGCTGGACGGCGTCGCCATGCAGACCGTGCTGGCCAAGAGCCTGGGCCCCTTGCCGCGCTGGGAGAACACGCTCAGGGTCGCCAAAGAGACGGGCTATAATATGATACATTTTACTCCTATACAGGTGAATTTTATCTCCGTATTTTTTTTTATTGCTTAGATGAGTGGACGAGCCACCCGGTGCTAAGCGGTCACCGGAGCCCATAGACATTCACAACGTAAATGCGCCACCCACCCTGAGGTATAAGTTCTAAGGTCTCAAGTATAGTTACAACGGCTGCCCTACCCTTCAAACCGAAACGCATGACTGCTTCACGGCAGAAATAGGCAGGGCGATGGTACCTACCCGCGTGGACTCACAAGAGGTCCTACCACCAGTAAAATTTCAATGATTTCATAATTAGAGCATTAAATTCCGGTGCGAGGGGCGTGAGAGGTTACAGGACAAAACTATACGTCTACTGGAGGCTTTTCAGTTTTGTAGAAATCTTGGGGAGGTAACATGAAGGGATACTTCGTCATGTCCCTGGTGACCCCTGCACACTAAAGTTATAACAACAATTGCGTTAAAAGTAAGATATACAATCCAGATCCAACATCGTTTGAGATATACACGCATGAACTAAGAATGAGTAGGTACATAGAGATTCCGGGTCCCATAGATCTTTAGCATCTGTATCACCAGCTGTAGTCGATGTTCTGCCGGTTCGCAGGAGCTGGGCGGCTCCAACTCGAGCTACAGCATCGCCAACCAGCTGAAGCTGAACCCTCGCTTCGGGCAGGACACGGGGCGGGAGGTCACCTTCGCTGACGTCGAGAACATTGTCGCCAAGATCAAAAACGACTGGAACGTGAGTACTGCGTTTGACCTGATCGACTGTGATACGCTCTCAGGCCGTAATTCCGGGAGTACTGCTGGACCGGATTTAGTCGAAGACCTGTTTATTGTCGGCACTCGCAGATAAAAGGAACAAACCGCCCGGCTACGGCCACCAGCCGATAGCCAGGGCCGCGCGAACGTGACCTCGTGAAAGTTTTCAGGATTTCATTAAGTAGACTGGGGAACAGACCCAGAATGATCGGAATGCACTCGAAAAAGTTTTTTGAAGTTAGTCATTGCAGTTAAAATTAAATGTTATTATTGTCCATTGAATTAGACGCAATGTAATTCAAATTGATTGAAAATCAGATGGCACAGGGATCGCGGCCCCAACGGTCTCGCTTAGATTTGGATATTTTTTTGCGAACCGTAGATACGATATTGATTTATTTATTTTATTTATTTATTTAAACACACCAACAGCAATACACACAAAACATTCAAGCTTAAAATTAACATGAATAAAATTAAGTACTGGTATGTAAGCCAGTTACAGGCATGTACAGCAATCTCTTATAACACACTATGACATGTTACAGCAATTTTACAAACAGCGGAAAAATAGGCTAAATTTAAATGTTAACAGTACGACAAAAAAGTATATTTGAAAACAACATGAAAACAAGAGCTAACTACACACACTACTAACTTCACAGATTACTAATTAAAAAAGTCGAGCGCGGCAATGCAAAAAATATAAATACATAGAACAGACTGCGCAATGTAATCAGATTTAAAGTGATAAAGGACAATGTCCAAAAATGGGCCAACTTTGTGCCAAAATTATTACGTTTCCAATGTTCTGAATGCGTTTATGTTTTCGTAGTCACGGTAGATTGAAACGGTTCCTGGTGGTGCACAGATGCTGTCGATATGCGACGTGGTGCTGAATCACACGGCCAACGAGACGAGCTGGGTGGCGGAGCACCCCGAGGCCACGTACAACTGCGGCTCGTGCGCCTACCTGCGCCCCGCCGCGCTGCTGGACGCCGCGCTCGCCGCACTCACCGCGCGCGTCGCCCGCGCCCTGCACGCGCCGCCCGTGCCGCCGCGCGTCACGCAACACGCGCACGTCGAGGTGCGCCCGCCCCCCTTCAGTTCAGACAACCTTCTATTGCGGGTTTTGGAAAAAAAAATCTGTTGTGTAAATAGTAAACAAAAAAAAAGGATTGTGTGGTTTTATGAAACCACGGTGAAACTTTTTTTCACATTATAGACATTTAACTCTGATAAACAACATTTACATTAAACACTGACGAAAACAAACAAAATAGCGTGGAGCACTGGCACAAATGAGTAATAGTCTATACTACACGGTCTGGTGCTGCGAACTATAGGCGTCGCCATATTGGCCTTGGCTGCTCTGACGAGCGCCTTTCACTTTATCCCTACTCCGCGGCCGACCGTCACGCGACATGCAACACATAGACGAAAAAGTTGGAGACGATGTAATAAAAGTATCACTTTAATTAAAATTAGGTACTACTGTTTACTTTTTTCTTCATTATATTATTTCTGGCGTCTCGAATGGTTCACAGTTTTCATGCTCACGAATGATAAGGCGGTATTCGTAGACATTTGAATATTGCGTCAATATGGTCTAATTACAAAATAAAAGCAGTATTTATTGACATTTATATTAAGAAATAATCAAACGTGCACATTATTAGTAAAACAATCCATTGATATGCTGTTGTCAGGCCATCAAACACATATTGGAGACGCAGGTAGTCCCAGAGCTGCGCCTGCACGAAATGTACATGTGCAATGTGTCGGAGCTAGTCCAGGAGTTCTACTTTTTGGCGAGAAACAAGTTAGTATCAGTTTTTAGAGGTAGTTGCGGGACGCAGACGTCACATGCATCTTAGAGTCGGCGTTCAGGATAATAAAATAATCAGCAGGCTTAAATGAAAAACATGTTTATGAACAATTTTCAGAACTAAAATTCAAGTATGTATCGCGTCACAAATCTATCCGTACACAGCCCCCCCCCTCAGGCTGCCCCCCCGCGCTGTCCCCCCGCGCTGTCCCCCTGTAACTCCACAGACAGTGCCGGTTGAGTCACAGTACACTGAGCGCGTCCGCTGTGAGAACTGGTGAACACATGCCGCGATAAGCTTGAAACCCGCTCGTCTCCGGAGAGACACCGGTCCTCTGTTTGCCTGTTGATTTTGTCGTATGCTTAGTGAGGAGCGCCTTTATGAGTTAAATTAAAAATTTCCTTTCATTTTTAAATGGTTTTCTCGTATAATGCCGCATATTGGACAAGTAGAATTCTAACGGATTTAAATCAAATCAAATCACATTTTTTTTATTCAACATAAATGAAAGTGCATACTTGTTGAACGTCAAAAAGAACTACCGCCAATTCACAAAAACTAGCCTCCGTCCTGAGAAGAACTGGCAAGAAACTCAGCGGGCATGTCTTTTTTTTGCAAATATTCGTTTCTTTTTTTTTTAATATTCATTTTTACAATGAGTATTATAACGTAACAATTATTGCAATATTGAAATGCTCGGAGCGAGCAACTCATTCCCACTTTGTACAATCTTCTAGATAGCCATTGATTTTATAGTAAGCTTTTTTTATTTAATTTTATTACACGATTCGCTTACACAATTAGATGAGAAACCCGAAGGATTCCTAACGGAGGTCCACTCTGTGCTTGTGTAGATAAGTTGACAACCAACGTTCTGATTGGTCGGCGTGGGTTCCAGGGTGCCGGCGGTGAAGGCCCCGGCGGAGGCGGAGCGGCCGGTGCTGAAGCTGGTGGAGGACCCGCAGTACCGCCGCCTCCGCGCCACCGTCGACCTGGACGCCGCTCTGCAGCTCTACAACGTGTACAGGTCCGTGCCTCCTCTACACTCTGTTAGCGATGATTAAACTCCTCGAGCCTGGTGGAAATATAATGAATATATATAAAAGTCGGCCTTTTGAAGTCGTCGTGGCCTAACGAATAAGGCGTCCGGTGCATTCGTGTTGAGCGATGCACCGGTGTTCGAATCCCAGGCGGGTACTAATTTGTCTAATGAAATACGTACTCAACAAATATTCACGATTGATTTCCACGGTGAAGGAATAACATCGTGTAATAAAAATGAAACCTGCAAAATTATGATTTGAATTACTGGTGGTGACCTCATGTGGGTCCGCGCGGGTAGATACCACCGCCCCGCCTATTTCTGCCGCGAAGCAGTAGTGCGTTACGGTTTGAAGGATGGGGCAGCCGTTGTAACTATATTGAGACCTTACAACTTATTTCTCAAGGTGAGTGGCGGCATTTACGTTGTAGATGTCTATGGGCTCCAGTAACCACTTAACACCAGGTGGGCTGTGAGCTCGTCCATACATCTAAGCAATAAAAAAAAACGTGTACTCGCCAGGTCGGAGTGTTACGACGAGGAGTCCCGCCTCAAGAAATGCTGTGAGGAGTTGAAGCTGAACCTGGAGCAGCTGAACGAGGCGGCCGCGGAGCAGGTGCGGGGACACCTCCGCGCCGCCGTCGACAACGTGGTCGCCGGCATGAGGTACCCACACAACGTGACAATTATTTGAAATGGCAATACTAAGTTTCGCTTATGGCAATACAAAACTATTGAATTTGTATAGATCTTGCTATTATTACGTGCATTTTTTTTACAAAGTAATCGTTTCAATTTGTATTAATAAAAAATTAGAACAATTCAATTCTTTTTTAGCATTTTAATATGTAATTTTTTGTCTTTTATATATATACTGGTGGCCGCAGTAGTCGAAATTCGACTATAATTAATTGAGATTATAAGTTTAAACATTATTATGGTTCTATTGTCAAACACTATTATAATTCGATAATATAATCACAGTGTTCGCCAATACTGCACTATAGATGAATTCATCATATAGATCAATATTAAAGACAAACAATATTAATCTATTTTCAATTCGACCACAGACTTTAAACAATAACAAAAGTTTCCCAATTGACAGTAAACAAAGAGTATATTTTTATGTATGTGTTGTATCAAATACATGGTAGTGTGTGTAATGTTTTCTTTATTGATTTAAAGTATCTTTTTTGCATTATACTAAAAAATATTAACATTATGCACTCCTTCTCTATATTCTCTATAAGTGTGAGAAATTTCATATTCCCCGTCCGCGCAATTTTCGTAAAAACGGTACAAAGTTTTTGCTTCACGTATTAATATATACCTAGTCAGGTCATAAGTATTGTCACACGGTAAAAACTTTTCTTTTAGAATGCTGGCCACAAAAAAGTTTATTGAATTCGAATTTCGGATTGTTCATGAAAATAAAAATGTATACTTTTAGAATTTTACTCATTTTTAAATATGGAGTGGACGCTTAAAGAAGACCGTGTTGCAGTTATTGCGTTGCATCGTTGCGGTTACGCGCCAATTCAAATTTTTAACATACTGAAAATTTTGAATATAACCAAAAGATTCGTTTATCGTACCATCAAACGATACAATGAAGACTCTAGTGTAGATGACAGGTCAAGAAGTGGTCGCCCTCGGTCTGTTAGGACTCCAGCAGTGATAAAAGCTGTGAAGGCGCGAATTCAAAGAAATCCCAAACGTAAGCAGAAACTGTTGGCCCTTCAGATGGGGTTAAGCAGAACCACGGTGAAAAGGGTGTTAAATGAAGACTTAGGGCTTCGGGCATATCGAAGAAAAACAGGACATCGTTTGAATGCTCGTCTAATGGACCTGAGACTGAAGAGATGCCGCGCTTTGTTGAAGCGGTACGCGGGAAAAAAATATCGGGAAATTCTTTTTTCGGATGAAAAAATTTTTACCGTAGAAGAGAGCTACAACAAACAAAATGATAAGGTGTACGCACACAGTAGTGAAGAAGCGAGCAACCGTATTCCGCGTGTCCAACGAGGTCATTTTCCATCCTCGCTCATGGTATGGTTGGGAGTTTCTTATTGGGGCTTAACAGAGGTACATTTTTGTGAGAAAGGTGTAAAAACGAATGCAGTTGTGTATCAAAATACAGTCCTGACGAACCTTGTGGAACCTGTTTCTCATACCATGTTCAATAACAGGCACTGGGTATTCCAACAAGATTCGGCGCCAGCTCATAGAGCGAAGAGCACACAAGACTGGCTGGCGGCGCGTGAAATCGACTTCATCCGGCACGAAGACTGGCCCTCCTCCAGTCCAGATTTGAATCCGTTAGATTACAAGATATGGCAACACTTGGAGGAAAAGGCGTGCTCAAAGCCTCATCCCAATTTGGAGTCACTCAAGACATCCTTGATTAAGGCAGCCGCCGATATTGACATGGACCTCGTTCGTGCTGCGATAGACGACTGGCCGCGCAGATTGAAGGCCTGTATTCAAAATCACGGAGGTCATTTTAAATAAACTTTAGTGTCATAAGAATCTATGTTTTGTTAAGTTCATTTTGGTATATGAATGGTGGTTACATAATGAATAAACTTGTTTCAATTATTTTACCTTAAACATGTGACAGAATTTATGACCTGACTATGTACATAGTCTTTTATAAAACAAAATTTTTAACTACTATTCTTGAACGAATGGAAATAACTCGATGCTATTACTGCTGGGCGTGCCTGTCGATGATGATGTTGATGTCGCCAGGTACTACCGCCTGCAATCGGACGGACCCAAGATCGAGGAAGTCAGCGCTAAGAATCCGCTGGTGCCGAGGTCAGTTCACAACGGCCATTATTATTACACATTTCATTTTTATGCATAATTGAATTTAAAAAAAAAACAATAATTAGGCTGGCTGAACACAGAAAAACAAATTTTTAATGAAAAATGAACTTTTGCCTCAAATGACGTCATGATTGGCTTTATTGAAACAGATACTTTAGCCTTTATTTTATATATTCTGTGTATTACTCAAATGTCTGGTTTGTTCAAATGTTATTGAAAACTTCAAATTAATTTTTAATTTATAGTCATAGCCGTGACTTAAAATGCGGTGTATAATTGTTCGAACATGTTTTCAGATATATTGTTTCTTCGTAGAACCATATCACAGGTTCAATATTTTTAAGGCTACGGCTCGACTTTCATTATGCCACTTATGAATTCAATTAATGATTTCATAAAAATCTTTAGTGAACAAAAAAAAAATGTTTGCTAAATTGGTTAATATTTTCTAAAAAATATATATATAAAGTCGTAAGTTCTTTTTACAGATTCCCATTAAACAGTAGCGGTTCATTTTTTATGGCCAAAATACAGTGATTAGTTTTCAATAATGTATTTGTAATTTCTAAATTAAAAATAAATCTTGAGACCGTCGTGTAGGTTTTGAGCAATCCACTTATCTTCTCAATTTAATCTAAATGCATCGAGCGTCTGCATACATTGTGTTGTGAAGCATTTATAAGCCCGGTCACCGTCCTCGCCGAACCCGTCGCTTGTGACGAAGGGCTCGGCGAGTAAATTAACCCACAGACACAGCCCACTGAGTTTCTCGCCGGATCTTCTCAGTGGGACGCGTTTTCGATCCTGTGGTAGATTCTGTGAAGCACTGCTCTTGCTAGGGCTAGTGTTAGCAACACTCCTGATTTGAGCCCCGTGAGCTCATCTACATGTCAAGGCGAAGCTGAAATAGCTTCTTAAGGTTATTAGCATAAGTAGGAAAAATGATAAGCATATAGTGTTGGTGACCCAGGTACTTCACGTGGGCGTGCGACGTGGAGTCGTGCAGCAGCGCGGAGGTGGAGGCGGCGCTGTACGGGGGGGAGGGGGGCGCGGTGATGGCGCACAACGGCTGGGTCATGGGGGCCGACCCCCTCACGGACTTCGCCGCGCGCCCCGCCGCCGCCGTCTACCTGCGCCGCGACCTGCTGGCCTGGGGGGACTCCATCAAGCTCAGGTCTTGGCTGCGAACTGACTCCTAATCTATCTGCATCAAATCTATCTAAGCTGTTCAACGAATCTTTGAATTGATCTTGTGGTATTACTGGTGGTAGGATCTCGCTTGAGTTCGTACAGGTAGGTATCACTATCACCTATAGGTATCACCTGAATATTTCTGCCGTGAAGCAGTAATGCTTTTCGGTTTGAAGGGTGGAGCAGCCGTTGTAACTATACTGAGACCTTAGAACATATCTCAAGGTGAGTGGCGCTTTTATGTTGTAGATGTCCATGGGCTCTAGTAACCACTTAACATCAGGTGGGCTGTGAGCTCGTCCACCTATCTAAGCAATAAAAAAAAAGTAATCCAATCAATCACTTAAAAAATAAATGTACATGGGTACCTTATGAGTGGTTATCGTTGTGCGTTGAGTACGGCTACATGCCGCCGCTAACAGCGCCGCGGGCCCGCAGGTACGGTGACAAGCCGGAGGACAGCCCGTTTCTGTGGGCGCACATGCGGGAGTACGTCGAGCTCACGGCCGAAGTGTTCGACGGACTGCGCCTCGACAACTGCCACTCCACGCCGCTGCACGTGAGTACCGCACCTGGGGGAGCGGGGGCACCCGGGGGGCCGGCCGCACCCGGGGGGCCGGCCGCACCCGGGGGGCCGGCCGCACCCGGGGGGACCGGCCGCACCCGGAGGGCCGGCCGCATCCGGGGGGACCGGCCGCACCCGGGGGGACCGGCCGCAACCGGAGGGCCGGCCGCACCCGGGGGGACCGGCCGCACCCGGGGGCCGGCCGCACCCGGGGGGCCGGCCGCACCCGGGGGGCCGGCCGCACCCTGGGGGGCTCGGCCCGTGCAGACATATCTTAACGTAATGAAAAATAGTCACGTAAAATCGTGGGAGGTTAAAGAAAACTCGCCTATGTTAATTAGAACCAATATTAAGTGACATTTGTTTATTAAGTAAATGTTGAGTGATGATAACCTTATTGATCGTCAAACAAAGCGTGGTCTTTAAGTTAAAATAAATTATTTGAGTTTGAAGAAAATTGAGGTCCCGGCGGGCGGGGTCTGTGAGCGCGGTCTGTTGCTGCAGGTGGCGGAGTACATGCTGGACTGCGCGCGCAACGTCAAGCCGGACCTGTACGTGGTGGCGGAACTCTTCACCAACTCCGACCAAGTCGACAACATCTTCGTGAACCGACTGGGCATTACTTCTCTCATCAGAGGTGACCGAACTTATTTGTGTACGCTACGAGCAGGTTACGATTGCAGCTTCCTATGTCCACTTGTATTATTCGAGAGGTGGCTCCTTCGGTAGCCCATCATCGGTTGGCTGTAACAAGCGCAAGTGGGCCACGCACGCTACTATATATCCAAATCTTGTCTGTTATAAGACTAATCAACGTTAGGCAGCTACTTGGCCGTGGTATTGCTCACCTGTAGGTACGATGGTAACCATTCACCAACAGCACAGACGGTCGTCAAGCTCGTCTGCCTAAAATAGCAAAAAACTTTTTATTACTAATCAGTTAATTTTTCAAATGACCGATACATTTCCAGAGGCTCAGAGCGCGTGGGACTCGCACGAGCAGGGCCGGCTCCTGCACCGGTTCGGGGGGCGCGGCGCGGGGGCCTTCATGTGGGGGGGGCCGCGCCCCGCCGTGCCGCACGTGGCGCGCGCCGCGCTCTACGACCTCACGCACGACAACCCCTCGCCCATCGACAAGAGGTACGGGGGCGGGGCGGGAGGGAAGAATTCGTCGTTATTACTGTCAGAGTAAAACGATATCATAAGTATTTGAACAATATGCTTTACTGTTTCCGCAAACAAATAGATAACAAAATTAAGTGAGTGCCTTTGTTGATCCCCTAACTAATCAACGTTATCCGTATACATTACGAGTTGACGGAGTATGTAATGTACTTAAGCGATTTGTAATCTATAGCCGATGGCGTTAATATGGACTACCATTACACCCTTCAAATGTAAGATCCTTTCTGAAATTTAGATCATAAGAAAAAAACAAGAACACAGACGAATTAATATATCGACAGAGCTTATGAAAATGTAAAAGTTTAAAAATGTTTCCATTGTATTATTTTTGCGGTGTACAGATCCGTCTGGGATTTGTTGCCGTCGTCGGCCTTGGTGTCCATGGCCTGCTGCGCCACGGGGAGCACGCGCGGCTACGACGAGCTGGTCCCCCACCACGTGAGTACCCCCCCCCCCCCCCCCCCCCCGTGCCCCGCGGCCCCCGGGGGCGGCCGGTACACGAACGGTTCGGTGCAGGTCCACGTGGTCGACGAGTCGCGGCTGTACTGCGAGTGGAGCGACGGCGCGGAGCCGGCCGAGGGCGGCGTGGGCCCCGCCTGCGGGATCCTGGCCGCCAAGCGAGCGCTCAACGAGCTGCACCTACAGCTGGCCCAGGGCGGCTACGACGAGGTAACACGCGTGTGCTCCTTAAATAAACGGACTCATCATAATGATAGTGAGATCGGAACGCGCGCATTCGTGACTCCTCGTCAGGGAGAGTCTTCCTCCGTTGTGACCTTCGTCAGGAATTTGTACGTGTGACGGTATCTCTACTGCCGCCACATAGAAACAATCGAAAAAGCAATTTGAATTCATTCAGACATAACAATAAGAGCACTGTCATGTACAATGACGTCAATGTTCATTAATATACCAACGCTCTCTTAGCTATTAGACAATGGATGCTCCAAACACATTTAGGTAAGGCGCTAAACCAGGACTAATAAACATGAGCAATAGAACAGCCACCCGCAGGCCGCCGTCAGTTTCAAACGTGTAGAGTAGCAAGGCAGTGAGTGTCGCGCGCCCGCCAGGTGTACGTGGACCAGATGGACGCTGACGTGGTGGCCGTGACGCGCCACGAGCCGCGCTCCCGCCGCTCCGTCATCGCCGTCGCCTTCACCGCCTTCCGCCCCCCCGCCGCCGCCGCCCGCCGCGCGCCCCCACCCCTCCGCTTTGAGGGACAGCTCGAGCAGATCCTCATCGAAACTGGACTGAGGATCAAGGACCACACGTGAGTGGCGCTGTTAGATATCTTACCGCTTCGGGCGGTATTCATTTAATTTACTAGGGATTCCCAAAAAATATTCAATTTTATAATATGAGGCGTATGTTTTTTGTTTGTTTGCACAAAGATTTAGTATTACAGAGTGTGACTTGTTTACCTGAGCGCGTGGTCCTGCAGGGCCGGCCCGTTCTCGAAGCACCCCCGCTACATCACCGGGCTCGCGCAGTACGACGCGCCCGTGCGCCGCGACGTGCCGCTCGCGCAGTCCGACGTGTTCGCCGCGGAGAGGACCGAAGGACAAACCACGATCTTGGAATTCAAGCCCTTATCCCCGGGCACTGTGGTCGTCATTCGCGTGGCGCCGCACCCGGCCGCCGCCAGCGCCGTGGCCGCGCTGCACAGGCACATGGAGCTGGCGGCCGGCGGCGACCCGTACGGCCTGCAGCCCGCCCTGGCCGAGCTCGACCTGGTGGACTTCAACGTGCTGCTGTACAGATGCGACGCGGAGGAGAGGGACGCGGGGGGCGGCGGAGTCTACGACGTTAGTGCCCTGCTGTCGCGCGGTCACCGAGCGCTCCGCCGCGAGCCCCCCACTGACCTCCTCTCGACTTGTGTGCAGGTGCCGGGCCACGGGCCCCTCGTGTACGCCGGCCTGCAGGGCGTGATCTCGTTGCTCTCGGAGATAACTCCCAACGATGACTTGGGACATCCGCTGTGCGACAACCTGCGCGCCGGGGACTGGCTCATGGACTACACGTGCGCGCGCCTGGAGAGGGACCCCAGACTGGCTGCCGTGGCCGCAAAATACAGGGAGGTCCGTGATCAGCTGTGCTCAGTGAGCTGTGAAGTTGAAGTTGTGAGTAGCGTTGATGTTCGGTAAACACGTGCAGGCGTTCCGGCCCATCTCTGCGCTGCCCCGGTTCCTGGTGCCGGCGTACTTCGCGGCGGCGGCGGGAGCGCTGCACGGCGCGCTGGTGGCGGCGGCGCTGCGGCGGGTGCGCGCGCCCGCGGGGACCCTGCGCGCCGCGCTCGCGCTCACCAGCGTGCAGCTCACAGGTACTCAGTGCCCTAAACTATATCGATACAAACTAAAGTGAGAGCGATGCGACTGTGCCGGAGCACAGATCCCGCGGGCGGGTACCGGTTGCTTTATTGAAATACGTACTTAACAAATGTTCACAAGTCGTGTAAACCGTCGTCGTCATGGTCGTCAAAATCGTGTAAAAAAAATACACTGATTATAATTTGAATAAATTACTATATAATTGAAACGTAGATAAACCTCACCCGCTGCGCAATAAAAAAATAGGCTCAGGAGCCATTCATTAATTAGATAGGGAAGATTTTGGGGAATTTCGACCCCCTCCTTCCCATGCCCTATTTTGTTTGTCCCATCCCGAAGACAACAATTAAATAGCAATTTTTTCTCAGTCTGTCGACCAATTTTCTTTTATTGACGGTAGCTGTTGACAGCCTTAAGTGTGTTATCAATAAAGGTATTTTCCAAGTAGTCAGTTTTGTTATGTCATTTAATACATGCATGCAACTAAACCTTGATGTATCAGTTGAGTTTTGAGCAAAGGATAATTTTTTTATTCATTTGTTTCAAGGAAGTTTACTAGCTTAATTTAAAATAGATATGTATTATATACAGAATAAAAAATTGGAAACAAAAAATAAAACAAAACGAGTATAGCCGCTCGTATAGAAATATTACAAACTAATGCTCTGGGAACCCCCGCCCCCTACGGGACCTCGCGCCCGCCCTCCTCCGGCCCTCCCCCGGCAATAACTACGACGAATCTGGCGTTGTTTTGACGCTCACTTGTAATATATTTGTAATAGAAGAATAAAATAGATCAATGTCTAACAACTTGTCTAGTCTGTTGAAATCGCCCACACGCAATTATAAAGTAGTTGACGAAATATAAAAATAAAAAACATGTGTGCAATTCACACGTGGTAGAAGTGAAACCTTCCAAAATTAAAATACAATTATCCTAAACGTCTTAAGTATACGTAAAATTTTGTCATTAGTAAATAATTGTAAGGTAGCGCCCTCTGTGAATTGATATTTTAATTTCACGTATAATCCTAAATTAAAATTCACTACAAGAGCTTTCATACACACGTTAGTATTAAAAAATCTCACAGATGGCGCTGTATTAAATANCACGTTAGTATTAAAAAATCTCACAGATGGCGCTGTATTAAATAGTATGTATATTTCTGTCTCATTCTTTGCTGGCTTCATCCTACACATTTTTGTATTTGTGTCTCTTACCTGTCGTTTTTTCCGTTGCATCCGGTTTGAAATCACAACGATTCTAAAAAAGTTTTCACTTCAATAAGTGTTGACGAGCGATTTCTTCGTAAAGGATTAACTTTATTTAATGAAAATGAAACCCTCCGTGCGTGTAAACATGGAAGGTTGACATTGTATTTCAAAATGGGTAACAGCATTCAAGCATCTTGAAAACCTTGCCTGAACAGCCTTCAGTCGTCTTTGAGTCGTTTAGTTTGGAGTCCTGGTGGTACGTACTCTTTTTGGAGTTTACTCCTTAAGAATCGATTTACATATATAGGCCCGGGGTATGAAAATTATGGGGACCAAAATCGTACTAGAGAGTATAGCATGTCACACGAAATGCGTTATGCGCCTGATTGGCTCCTGATTGCGTGATGCGTGCGCGCGCCAATCAGGAGCCAACGCGCGGCCGCGTTATCGCAGGTGACGCCNGAAGTGAAACCTTCCAAAATTAAAATACAATTATCCTAAACGTCTTAAGTATACGTAAAATTTTGTCATTAGTAAATAATTGTAAGGTAGCGCCCTCTGTGAATTGATATTTTAATTTCACGTATAATCCTAAATTAAAATTCACTACAAGAGCTTTCATACACACGTTAGTATTAAAAAATCTCACAGATGGCGCTGTATTAAATAATATGTATATTTCTGTCTCATTCTTTGCTGGCTTCATCCTACACATTTTTGTATTTGTGTCTCTTACCTGTCGTTTTTTCCGTTGCATCCGGTTTGAAATCACAACGATTCTAAAGAAGTTTTCACTTCAATAAGTGTTGACGAGCGATTTCTTCGTAAAGGATTAACTTTATTTAATGATTTTTTTTTGTTCTATTTAAGTTGATAGCCTTGAGAGGCTATTTCAACGTAACCTTAACTAGTAGGTGAGCTCATGGGGCTCAAACCGGAGTGATGCTAACATTGACCCTAGCAAGAGCAGTGCTTCGCAGAATCTACCACCGGATCGGAAACGCGACCCACTGAGAAGATCCGGCGAGAAACTCAGTGGGCTGTGTCTATGGGTTAATTCGTTCGTCGAGCCCTTCGTCGCAAGCGACGGGTTCGGCGAGGACGTTGACCGGGACGTAGGCAGTAACGCGATGCTACCGCAGGGCACGTGCCGAGCGCGACCCTGCCCGCGCCGCTCCCCGCGTCCCCCACCGCGCCGGCCCCTCGCGGCCCCCGCCCCGGCTCGCTGTCCGCCGGCCTGCCGCACTTCGTGGTGGGCTACACGCGCTGCTGGGGGCGCGACACCTTCATAGCGCTCCGCGGCATGTTCCTGCTCACCGGGAGATACGAGGTCAGCCCGGTTGTTAATACTGTTTGCACAGTAAAATTCCAGTTTAAACTAACAACGTGTTCGCTAAATATGCGCATTAATTGTTACCGGCGCAGGACGCTCGCCTCCACATACTGTCGTACGGGGCGTGTCTCCGGCACGGCCTGATCCCCAACCTGCTGGACTGCGGGAAGAACGCGCGCTACAACTGCCGCGACGCCGTGTGGTGGTGGCTCTACTGCGTGCAGCAGGTACGTGCGCCCCCCCACCCCCCGCGGCACCGCGCCTGTGTGTGCGCCCCCTGATGTCACTTGTACATGTACAGTGAAACGTTTCAGTATTGTAAGGAGGCCCCGGACGGGCTGTCCCTCCTGTCGGAGCCGGTGTGTCGGCTGCAGGCGCGCGAGGAGGGCGCCCCCGCCGCCGCGCCGCTGCACGAGCTGCTGCAGGACGCGCTCGACACGCACTTCCAGGGCCTCGTGTTCCGCGAGAGGAACGCCGGCAGGACCATCGACGCGCACATGACCGACAAGGTGCGGCCGCGGACTGAGACTGCCGCGTCTCAAACTTTAGGCTTATTTCTTATCATACACTCTCACTCTTGTAGCTGATACAAACAAACACTCGCTAATTTTAACGTGTTTTTATTTTATTTAACAGGGTTTTAATGTGCAAATCGGCATCGACCCAGAAACCGGGTTCCCGTTCGGTGGCAACGACTCGAATTGCGGCACGTGGATGGACAAGATGGGGTCGTCCGACAAGGCGGGCAACCGCGGACAGCCCGCCACCCCCCGGGACGGCAGCGCCATCGAGCTGGTCGCGCTGGCCTACAGCACCGCGCGCTGGCTGGCCGAGCTGCACCGCGCCGGGCGCTACCCGACCCCGGGGCTGGTGCGCCGCCACCGGGACGGCACGCTCACCTCCTGGACCTTCGCGCAGTGGGCCGACCGCATCCGGGCCTCCTTCGAGCGACACTTCTGGGTCCCGCCGACCCCCGCCGCGCCCGACGCGCGCCCCGACCTGGTGCACCGCCGCGCCATCTACAAGGACACGCACGGCGCCTCGCGGCCCTGGGCCGACTACCAGCTGCGTTGCAACTTTCCCGTGGCCATGGCGCTCGCCCCCGACCTGTTCGACCCGCGCCACGCCTGGCAGGCCCTGGACCAGGTCGAGAAGCTGCTGCTGGGGCCGCTCGGCGTGAAGACGCTGGACCCGGCCGACTGGGCCTACCGACCGGACTACGACAACTCCAACGACTCGGACGACCCGAGCGTCGCGCACGGCTTCAACTACCATCAGGGCCCCGAGTGGGGCTGGCCGCTCGGCTTCTACGTGCGCGCGCGCTTGGCCTTCGCGCACCCCTGCGGCAAGCACGCCCGCGCCGTCGCCGCCGGGTACCGCGCGCTGGGGCCCTCCGCCGCCGAGCTGCGCGCCTCGCCCTGGCGCGGCCTGCCCGAGCTCACCAACGCGGGCGGCGCCTACTGCCGGGACTCCTGCCGCTCGCAGGCCTGGACCGCCGCCTCCGCGCTGGAGGCCCTGCACGA